GGACAACCAAAAAATGGGTGAAGGGAGACGTCGGACACTGTAAGACATGACAAAATAATAATAATTTATAAATCATCAAGGGTTTATGAGGGAGGTGGGTGGGGAGGGAGGGGAAAATATAAGGAGCTAATACCAAGGGCTCAAGTAGAAAGAAAATGTTATGAGAATGATGAGGGCAATAAATGTACAAATGTGCTTGACACAATGGATGGATGGATGGATTGTGATAAGAGTTGTATGAGCCCCCAATAAAATGATTTAAAGAAAAAAAAGGAAGAGAAGAGAACTATATGAAGATGGACACAATAAAGATGTCCTCTACCACTTGCATTGCAATAGCAAAAGTTAGGATACAAATTTAAGTATTAATCCGCAGACTTGAAGACATTCACTATGGAATACAGTACAGCTGTCAAAATGAGTGAAAAGCATATTTACAAATACAGACAGTATAAACAAGGGTAAATCAAAAAGTATTGCTACTAAGCTTCCAATTCATACATGCACAGACTTATTCCAAACCAGATGTGTTTAAACATGTCTCTGTGATCAGTAGATAGTTACAAACCATTTTCTCAGTTATACACTTGTCTTAGTCACATCACAATACCTTTTTTAAGAGAGATACTTTTTGTGTTACAGGGCAGGAGGAGTTAGGATTTTGAAATAAGGGCTAATATAAAATTTTTAGCAAAACTCAAGTGAACACCTTCTCAATCAGTGAAGCTGTGCAAATAATATATGCTGCCCTACACAATACAGATTTTCAAGCATTTTAACAAAAGTTGGGAAGACCTCAAAGATGAGCCATGAAAGGTAAGATCTTCAGCCTTCTCAAATAAAGCAAGTGACTTAATTCCAGAAACTATTAGAAGACCACAGAATTACCAGTAATGCAATAGCTACTAAAGTTGGGATCGCACATAATTTATTTATTACTTTAAATTTTAAGTGAACATTTTGACTTCAGCAAAATAGTTAATCCCCCTCCATACAAAGTCTGTCTTGAGATTTTCATTCCTCATCCATCCTATAGCCCTAATCTTGCCCCTTCAGACTTCTTTTTGTTCACAAATCTCAAAGAACACTTAAAATGAACATCATAGGTCACCACTGGTTGGGCATCCTCAAAATAGGAAGTCCATACCCACCCATAGACCTATGAGTATGCTTTCCTCCGACTTTTAAGTTAAAGTCCAGTTTTGCTTACCACCTTACACTTACAATGATAGCAAAATTCAAGAAAACAAAGAGCAACCAATCCTGAAGAGGATATACAGTAACTGGAGCTCTCATACACTGCTAATGGGATTGAAAACATGTACAACCATCACAGAAAGTGATATGGCAATATCAGAAACAACTGGGAATAGGAGTACCATATGGCCCAGCAATATCTGTATTGGGAATATACCCCTGCCCCCCAAGGAAGCAAGAAAAAAGAACACAAACAGATAAGTGCTCCTCCATGTTTATAGCAGCACAGTCCACAATAGCAAGAAGCTGGAAAAAACCCAAATTCCCATCAACAGATGAATGAAAAAAGAAAAGTAAGGTACATACACACAATGGAAGATTATGCATCCAAAAAAACCATGATGAAACACGTCATGGAAGGAACTGGAAACCATTATGCTGAGTGAAATTAGTCAATCACAAAAGGACAAAAATCTTATGAATCCACTACTACAAGAACAAAAAACAAGACAAAGACAGACTCTGGCTCCCAAGACATGTAGACTCCTAATTAGACATATACACTCCTAAGCAGTGTACATATCTAACTCTCATAAAATATATCATCAGCCCCTTATCAGAACACTTTAAAAACCACACCAAGAGGCAACCCCACTACAGACGAGGTCAGTCTCCCAGGTCAAGGGAAGTAGGGAAAAAAAAAATTCCTGCTTACAAGGAAGTATTTTATGATCACCCCAAATTAATGACATTCCTACAAGAATAATCAGTGAACATTATTGAGAGATCAGATCAAGAAGAAGAGGGGCGGGTGCTCATGTATATATTGGGGGCAGAAACACACTCCAGATGGTCAATAGGCCAAGTGGGACACCCAGACGCTAGAAAGAATGCTTAACCCAGCTTGTAGAAGCCTAAAAGGGGGAACGTGCCCTGTAGTTCGTTCCTAACTCGGCAATTATGAGCTGGCTCTTTATCAACAATAGACTCTGATCTTCTGAGATGCATGGCTCCCTCTACAGGTCACACTAGAAGGACACTAGTGTGTATTTCCAGTTTTGAAATTGAAAACTATTCAAATTATTAATGCTGTTACAAGCATTTGTATATAATTTTTTGTGTGAACATATGTTTTCATATCTCTTGAACACATAGGATACTCTATGTTTAACAATTTGAGGAATCACCAAACTGTTTTCCAAAGCAGTTACATCATTTTACATTTTCACCACAACTAAATGAAGGTACCATGTTCTCAACATGCTAACACTTGCATCTTTCATGTGCTTATTGGTCATTGATAAAACTACTTTGCAGAAATGTCTTTTCAGATTCTTGG